AAGTCATGGTGCAAACGGCGTCCCGCAGCTGCTTAAGGTCAAAGGTACGGCATAGATGGCTGCGGGAGCGTGCGGACGATGTTTCTAGGTCGAGCCCGCTGAGGACATACGCGGCGAGGAACCACAACGTGCCGGCAAGGGAGCCGGGTACGATGCTTCCCAGCGAGGCGAACACGACGAGTGAGCGAGCACGTGCGCCCGTGAAATCGTCTACGTGGTGTACATGCCAGATGGCGGAGAAGAAGAGGCTGAGGAGCGATAGCAATATTGCAATAGAAGTGAAGCCAACGGTGTGTATGATGAAATGGCAGATAGGGATCAGGGGGATGCGGATCCATTGCCACAAGGCGTCGGCCGTTTCCTGGAGGTAGTTTGGGCGGTCACGACGTGCATCGGTTGTGCTCTTCTCCAGAATGATGTTCACGGACTCGGTATTGGGGACGAGGGTCCGCTCTGAACAGAACGATGTCCGCGTCCATATGGGATCACTGTCTTGGACGAACAGTGGTAGGGTATCGTCATGTGGTCTGAATATTGGCGACGGCCGTGCTGGATTCCCCGAAAGCGTATCTGGGAGTATAGTAGGCGTTGTGGGGAGTGGATGGCTTGCAATGTGACTTTTCTCCTCAGACTGAAGGTTGGACGGCAACTCACGTCCCCGCAGTGTCATGTGCGTAGGAAGGACGGTGGGCGGGGTGTGTGAATGTGAGAAGCCTGCGCAATGAGAACATTGGCACTGAAATCCCCATGACCGTGGCGTAGAAGGAGGAGGTCTGGAGAGCGTTACTGGCATCATTAGGAGCGAAGGAGAAACTGAATAACAGTGAGAGTAGCCTGTCTGGTATAGACTCATGAGGGCGGTAGCCTGCATGCCTTCATATACATAGTCTCTGAGCCACGTGCATCCCGTGTACAAGCTTACTAGGAAAGAACTTGTGTCTGGTAGGAGGACAGCCCTACAGGACTTCTACGCGAACAAGTGACAGGGGCAGTGTATCCTTTGAGCGGAGGACAAGGATGAATGGATCAGACGCTAGGAACTCGTGTTCGTATTCGCAGTGCAGGCTTAGCTCGGAACAGCTCGATAGAGGTGTATATGCCTCAAGGCTTGAGCGGAACGCGAGGAACAGCAGAATGCGATGACAGCTGCCATATATACTAGTAGCCATAGATAACCAAAAGGATAAGAGACATGCATAGCCACAACGTACAGCCACAACGTACACCAAGGCCCGAACCTGCAAATACCACGACTATTGATCATCCAGACGCCGAGCACTGACATGGGAGAGGTGTATGGCAAGGATCGTTGGGTGGGAATCCGTCGTCATCGAATTGAATAACGGGTCAAAGTGCATAGTAGTGGCGCAAACAAAAACTCTATGGAGAGTCAGCGAGACGGAAGCCGAGAGCTTCTGCCCAGCCTCGACATACGTGTGGCAATCGTTGAATTGCGTTGAAAGTCCCCGATTTGAGCGTCTACGGTATATCCAAGAAAGGCAACCCTCCAGCTGCTAGGCGCTTAGAGCACGATGTTGTGGCGGGAAGGATAAAAGTTGGGCCGTTATTTAACCGGGAGAATGTGAAGTGTAGCGCATCAGTCTGAAGAATTAAAGAATGGTAATGTCTACCGTTCTACTACGGTCTAGTACCAAACCGAATGAATGATCAGTACGTATGCAAGTAACTGTGCCACTTTTACAGAGTTTGGAGTCGGGTTGGAAGTCTCCATGTCCTCATACCCGAGCTGTGTTGGAAAACTCCTTCAATATCATTTTCGCAACGAGAGATGCGGTTTCGATAGCATCTTGTTTGAGTCCGAAGGGTATCACACGTACACAGCTTGAAATACTACCTTCTATGAATTCCGCGAGTTCCAAGCATTTTCAGCGCATCGATTTATGTTCCTCTGGTCCAAAAGGATCACTAGCCATATAAAATACTCTCTGTCGGGGAATTGAACCCCGCTTTCCGCGTCAAAAACGTGGTTCCACTCCCCGCCAGGGGAGGAGAACCGCATTTTTGTACCATTTTCCGCGGAGCGGGTGCGGGTGTGGGACCATCTACCGCGGAGCGGCGCAGGGGCCGTGCCATATTCCGCGAAGCGGGTGGGGTGGGGGTCCGTCTACCGCGGAGCGGCGCAGGGGTCGTGCCATTTCCCGCGAAGCGGGCGGGCGTGCACGTCGGCGCCTATAAGCACTTTCCTAATCTGCCAGTTCAAACCTCCTCCCCGCCACAATCCCACCTTCCCAATCCGGCAGTCCTTCCCGACTCCCCGCTGCTCGTAACTTTATACTTACGCTGCCCATCCACCCGGGACTCTCCGCAGATTCTCCGCCAGATACTCCCGCTGCAATATATAAGACCTCTGTTCATGTCTTTAACGACCCCATTATGTCTTACCCGAAATACATCGAGATCGGCGTCTCGCGCGACCACCTCTACGTTTTCTGCTCCAAGCACAATGGGCTCTCTACGTGCAACTACGAATCGCTCCAGCGCCCTCACGAGCCCTCTGAAATCATTGCGCACGTCCTTGAAATTATAGATGGCTCCGCTCTCGAAGCTCTTGTCCTCCACAAGATCCATGTAGCATTTACCCTCGAGCTCGCATTCTCTCCATGGGCCGAACTCACCCATCTCGACCTTTCTGGCTGCACAGGAGTCTCCTGGTGGTATACTGCACTCACTACGCCAGCATTCCTCGTTCTACAACGCCTCACGCTCACTGGCGCCGACGTGGCCGTCACCCAGCTCACCAGTGCCCTTTACACCCATGGGCGCTCCGCCAGCTGCCTCACGCTCGCCCAGCTCGACATTGACCTCCTTCCGGGCGCCATCGCATACAATCTGCTCCCTTCCACCTGGTGCCGTGACGCCATCAATCCCCCGCGCACCATCACACTTTTTCTCCTCGCCTGGCTCTGCATTCACTTTTCCGTCCGTCTCGTGCTTTTTCCCGACGAGCCCTACTCCGATTGCGACACTGATAGCCAACCAGTCGACCACGTCGCCGCCTTCAGCTCCGACCGCAGCTCGCTCGCCACTGTCCCGACCACACTCGCTCGCAAGAACCGCCGAGCGCACGTCCCTGTTGCAGTCACCCGCATATAGTCACCTAGTTCCGCGTCGCACCCGCCCTTCCTAAGCCCACTGTATTAGTATACGAGCATGTACCACTAGCCCCTTTGTACGCGCATCCAATGTATTTTTGTCCGGCCTACCAGATGTAATATCCATATGCATACATCGTCCCGACTCCCCGCCCGATCGCCAAAATTCAAGACCCCACACACATATAAAGGCCCGGTTCACTCGCTCGACACGCAACCTGCTCAAAATGCCCCCCACTTTTGATCCTGAGCGTGTCACCTGCGAATACCGCCAAGGCCGCGTCTTGGTCCATCTCTCCGCACACAGTCCCCTGCTCGTGAGTACGCTCACGCTCCCATGCCCGGACGAGCCCTCTGACATCTCTCATGCGCTTTCGAGCCTCTTGACTCAGTTCACGCCCTCTGCAGTGCACACTCTGCACTGCTGTGACCTCTACATTGCTATTTCCGGGCCGCTCTTCAGCCAGCTTACCTATCGCTGGACTTATCTTCAGACACTCGAGCTCGTTGCATGCGTCGGCCTCTGGCCTTGGTACTCTCTCCTTGGCGCATCTGCTTTTCCAATGCTGCGCCAGCTCACCATCTCGGCCTGCGAAGTCGACATCTCCGACCTTGGCGCCTGCCTCTATGAACGCCATCGTGTTTGTAAATGCGAGTGTTTGGACCTTCTCGTGCTCGACACCCACCTCACAGGCGCCATTGACCCCCTCGACATACCGGACCTCTACCCCGCTGCCAAGTCGCGCAAAGACATCTTCTCTGTCACCGGCCTCGCTCGCGCGTGGACTCAGATCAACACGGCTGTCACCTGCCTTCACTTTGACAACGACACGGACAGCGATACGGCCAGTTTCCCCGACGTATTTACCGAGCCCAATTCTGACACACTCGCCCTCGAGGCATATCTTCAAGAGACTCCCCTCCCTCACTCTCGGCCGCCTTCTTCGTTCGAAGAGTACGAAGACTGGATTGCGCACTGCGCACACCTACAAGAGACTCCCGTTCCTCCAGCTTGGCCGCCTTCACCGTTCGAGAACTACGAAGAATGGCTCGCGTACTGCGCCGAGTGGCACCCCCTTCTGTTTCTCCCTCGTTCCCATGCATCCGACCGGCTGAACTTCTCTCCCTCCAAGTCGTTTATGTTCTTACGTGTCATTTTGTACGACTGCATTCGCTTGTACCTCAGCCCGCCCGCCGGGTCCCTGTAGCTTTCCATGCACGCTTTGTAACACAATAAGACGCGTCGTGTTTGAATCAGCCTTTGCAAAGAACGTCTCGTCATGCACTGCGTAGCATTTCGCCCCCGCATATCCCGGACGAAAAGTATTACTAAGCACATCTTCTTATTTCGCCCCCGCATTCCCCGGGCGAACAATATCACTAGGCACGTCTACTTATTTCGCCCCCGCATTTCCCGGATGTTACTAGGCACGTCTCATTATTTCGCCCCTGCATTTCCCGGATGAAATAGTATATCTCCTCCTCCTCCTTCTCCTCCTCCTCTCCTCCCGAACAGGTGCTAATCGGTCCTTCTTCCTTATGGCCCCGTCAAGCACGTTCTTTCATGTGAATCCCTCTAGCCACCCTCCACAATGGGCAGAACTGTACAGCTGCACAGCTCGACCACCTTATAAGTCTCTGAAAGCCACTGATTTTTTCTTGGTTGGAAGTCTCCATGTCCTCATACCCGAGCTGTGTTAGAAAACTCCTTCAATATCATTTTCGCAACAAGAGATGCGGTTTCGATAGCATCTTGTTTGAGTCCGAAGGGTATCACACGTACACAGCTTGAAATACTACTTTCGATGAATTCCGCGAGCTCCAAGCATTTTCAGCGCATCAATTTACGTTCCTCTGGTCCAAAAGGATCACTAGCCATATAAAATACTCTCTGTCGGGGAATTGAACCCCGTTTTCGCGCGTTCAACTATCAGGATTACTCCCGGAACATGACAAGCACGTGTACTAACCGATATACTAACAGAGAATATATCTGTGGCCAAAAGGCAAATCCCATATGTTGATTAGTCTTGAAGTGATCCTGGAAATAACATGGACGAATATACCATGAAAACTAAGCGAGATGCCCTTCAATAGACGAGATTTTGATACGGAGAGACCCGTAGAGTGGAATTCCACCTGCGAAAGGTGCAAAGATGAGATGAGTGCTTGCACTGTCTCGCTCCCTCGGATGGCTCGTGAATGTCAAAACTACGATCTTCATCTTACGCGGATTGCTCAATAGGCGAAAAAATGAAGGGCGAACTGTATCTGTTATGAACGCCCACGCGAGCGCCTGATCAGGTGACCTGGCCGGATGAGGAAGGCACCAGCCACAGAGGCGGATCCACAGCCACCCAGAGCTCGACGCCTGCAAGAGGCAAGGAGGAGGACGGCAGATATGAATACCAGGACAAGTAGGCATGGGAACGGCGAGGGAAAGGACAAGAGGCAGTGAGTGACAGGCGCAGGTTCGATAGGGGCACCATAGGTAGTGGACCGGACAATTGTTTTCTTTTCTTTCTCGCATAGCTACGCGCTGCCGCACGCAGCCTCTGTACATTAGTATATAAGGAGGACCTCTGAGAGCTCAGAGTCCTCAGAACAATTCTAGTTTGTACTTGGTCTAAGCCACTACAAGCCCTAGCACGAGTGCAATCCGCATAGCGCGTCCATTGCTCATGATAAGCTCTCACGTGACATTCTGAGATTGTAACAGAAGAATTGTTCTCTACCCCGACCACCTACAATCCCATCCATATCCATCCATTCTCCACACCATCCCACACTCCATCATTCCAACCCCGTGAGTCGTGCTCCAACTTAAACTGAGCGTATAGCCGGACCGTAGGCTTAAGCGGCAAACACGAACCCTGAAAGCCGGTGCTACCGGTGGCATACAGACAAGTCCTTGACAGGCAAGGCGTAGATACACAGAGGTCTACCATGAAACGAACTCTTGATAGGCGCACCTTCAGTGGTGGTCTATTGGTGTTGTGATACACCCTTGTGCGCAGATTCCTGACGGATAATAACCAAAACCGTTATTGGGTCCACGAGCAACTGCGAATTGTGGTATTCTGCTCTCCGTAGTTAGATTAGTACAATTAGCTACGACGACGAACGGGCACGAGCACTAAGAAGGGTCAGTGTACTGCCGACGAGAGAAGACCTCGTAGCTCCGCAGAGTACGAGAAAACGTGATCACACCCCCTCCGAGTAGTAGGGAATCACGGATTTCGGACCTTACCGAGAACGCCCGAATAGCGAATCATCATCCGAGGCTACAACCCCTGTCAGCGGACTGCCCATCATTACCATTACCCCTGCCCACCCCGAACCAATCACACTCCAACCCCCGGTCCTCATCTGCCAACCGCCTCAGGAAGTGCACAGACGGCAACCCCGGCTCCGGCCCCCGCACCACGCAGCAACGGAAGAGTGACCTTAGCCGGGTCGCCAAGCGTCTTTGACGGTAACAAGGAAAGCTTCCAGAAGTGGTGGAAGCAAGTTAACCTGTACATTAGCGCGTACGAGGATGACTTCGATGTTGAGCCAAGCAAGGCTGACAGACAAAAAGTAATCTTTGCCCTCTCGTTCACGACAGAGGGGCAGGCCAAGCTCTGGGCTGATGAATACTGAGAGCAAGCAATTGCGCAGTTCCCCCCAAACTGGGGCATGTGGGACGTCTTTGTCACAGCGCTCAAAGGGTGTTTCCAGGACACGCAGCTCAAGGAGCGTGCACAGTGGAAGCTTAACACCTTCTGCCAGAACAAGATGACGGCAGAGGAGTGGTTCCAGGGGATGGACCTTCTCCAGCGACAAGCCGGATACACGACGGCTCATGATTCAATCATGATTGCCAACATCCGCATCAACGGCAACGCCACGCTCGTTGATAAAGTAATCGGGCTCGATGTGATGCCCACAACGTACATCGACTGGAAGAAGAAGATGATCCAGTTCGACAATCAGTGGCGGACACGCGAGGAGAAAAAGAAGCTCTTCACCCAAGGACACGGCATAGCAATCCCACGGTCGTACACGCCACAACAGAACAGCGCTCCCCACCAAGAGAAGCAGGCAGAGCGCCCAGCAGCAGTCCCGGCATCCCAAGGAGGAGGGAGCCGCATGGACATTGACAGGCAGAGGCAGCCACGAGGAAGAAACTGCCACCGATGCGGCAAAGAAGGGCACTTCGTGCGAGACTGCACAGAACTGAAGCCCAACAAGTTCGCCAAGGTACGAGCCCTTGGCATGACAAAGGAAGACCTCGAGAACTTCCTCAAGGAGGGTTTTCAGAAGGATCAGTGAAGGAGCGGCGCTCCGCTGATCAGGACTCGGACAATGTTGTTACACCAACTGGAAAATATGTAGTACCCACGAAACAATCTAAGGTATCTATTTTCCGCGTAACACATCGACCAAGTCAAAGCTGCATACACCCTCAGAACGGAGGGCAAGGAAGAAAGTGTCTAATGAAACGATAGCACTTCTTCGGAGCATGCTCAATGACGAGCCAGAGGAGCAGGGCAAGATCGAGGAGGTGAAGGAGGACGGCACCTCTCTCACGGATCTAGAATCAGTGATTGAGCTGTCTGAGGAACCGCAGACAGGGGCTGCAGAAGAATCAGATGAAGCTCCACTGACGGATCAGGAAGTCGACCACGAGGAGTGGTTTGACGCTGAAGAAGACCAGGAGGAGAAAGAACCCGAGGAGTTCTTCGATGCACCGGAGATACCCGAGAAGGAAGGACCTCGGCCAGAGCAACAACGGTATGCCGCTTGGACATGCGGCTGGATGGCAAAGCAGATCGACTCGGACAAGGACTACGTACTCGCACAGTTCAAAACCTGGTGCCACGAGGACCGACGGCCCGAAGCAATGATTGAGACGATTGCCCAAATTCGACGACTTAGCTGGGACCACAGGATCGCGGCACTATCAGAACTTCGAGAACAGCCAAAATACGCAATGGGACGAAAGAACCAGTGCGAACTCGAAGTAAACTGCACGCTCCAAACAGTCAGCGACGGACGGACCCTAGACACCAAGGCGCTCATTGACTCCAGATGCACCGGCACAATGATAGATAGCAAATACGTTGAGAAGCACAGATTAGAAAAGGATCCAGTGCTCCGACCAATTGCAGTCTATAATGGCGATGGCATGGTGTCCAAAACAGGAGTCATCAGGTACACGGTCACATTGTGTCTACGCGTCGGCGAACACAAGTCATGGGAGATCTTCGGAGTCACCGACCTGGGAAAGTCAGACGTCTTCATCGGACATGATTGGTTATCGTTCCATAACCCAGAGATCGATTGGGCCACGCAAGAGATTAAGTTCTCCAAATGCCCCGAACTCTGTGGTTTCAAACCAGAATGGAACCGCACCATCGACGAAGACAATGACGGGGATCGACTATTCCTGTTCAATGTACCCGGATACTGTCAGCGTGAGGAGATCATCCGAAGAGTCACCACGTCTTCAGAATTGGCACAAGCGGTGAATGCGACCAAACCGAAGCGGCACTGGAAGGACATCGTACCCAGTCGTTATCATGAGTTTGCAGATGTCTTCACCAAGGAAGGCTTTGACAAACTACCACCACATTGGCCATGGGACCACGCTATCGAGCTTAAACCGGGAAGTGAACCACATGACTGCAAAGTCTACCCAATCTCCCCGAGCGAGGACCAGGCGCTGAGAGATTTCATTGACAAGAACCTGAGAACGGGACGCATTCGACCGAGTCAATCACCAATGGCCTTTCCTTTCTTCTTCATCAAAGAAGGATGGATCACTGCAACCAATTCAGGATTATTGGAAGCTCGATGAGATGACAATTAAAAACCGTTATCCTCTTCCGCTGATCTCAGAGATCATGGATAAGCTCAGCGGCGCTAAGTACTTCACCAAGTTTGATATCCGGTGGGGGTACAACAACGTGCGGATCAAAGACGACGTTGTCTGGAAAGCGGCCTTCAAAACAAAGTATAGATTGTTTGAACCGCTGGTCATGTTCTTCGGCCTATGCAACGCCCCGGCCACGTTTCAGTCCATGATGAATGGCTATTTCCATGATATGATCGCTAGCGGTGAGGTCCTTGTGTACATTGATGACATCATTGTCCTTGGCAAGACGCTGGAAGACAACCGCTGGACCACACGCAAAGTCCTAGAACAGCTCCGAGAACACAATCTCTTTGTCAAACCAGAGAAGTGTGAATTTGAGATGCAAAAGACGGAATACCTCGGCCTAATCATCTCAGAAGGACGACTGGAGATGGACCCGGTTAAGATTTCTGGTGTCCGCGACTGGCCCATGCCCACGTGCAAGAAGGAAGTACAGGCCTTCCTAGGCTTCTGCAACTTCTACCGACGGTTCGTCAAAGGGTATTCGAAGGTCACTCGCCCGCTCAATGACCTCACTGGCAACGTCCCCTGGGAGTGGACTCCTAAGGCGGAGATGAGCTGAAAAAATGGCTTACGGAAGCACCTGCGTTGGTCATCCTGAACGAGAGTGACCCCTATTGAGTCGAAGTTGACGCATCAGATTATGCAATTGGGGGAGTTCTGAGCCAAAAACAGGATGGCGTCTGGCATCCAGTAGCATACATCTCACACTCAATGACACCAGCAGAGCGGAACTACGAGATCTATGACAAGGAACTGCTCGCAATCATGATCGCGATAGAACAGTGGCGACACTATCTATTGGGTGCGAAGCACACGTTCGAAGTCTACACGGATCACAAGAACCTCGAGTTCTTCTGGCAACCGCAGAAGCTGAACCGACGACAAGCGCGATGGCTTACGGAGCTGGCAGACTACGATTTCGCGTTAGTCCACAGGCCTGGGTCAACCAATACCAAGGCCGATCTCTTGTCCCGTTGAGCAGATCATGCAGACGGAAAGGAAGACAACCGAGAGGTGGCACTACTCCGCGAAGAATTCTTCAGAGTCCGACACGCGATTGACGA